TGTTGCAAATTACTTAACATCCTTATACGCAATCCACCAGCTCCAATCATTATAGGAATAGTACATAAACAGACCAAAGTGAGCTTCCAACCAATTATAAAAGACACTATTACAGAAGCAAATATCATAACCGTTACGTGTAATAAATTTCCAAGTGTAATACCAGCCAAACCATTAATATGAGTTACATCTAATGATAAATGACTAGTCAAAATGCCTACACTATGATTTTCTTCATCAAAGAATGAAATATCTTGTCGTAAAATAGAATAAAAAGACTTAGATCGAATCCTTTCAGTAAGCTTTTCACTCGAAATTCCAAGAGTGACATTTTGGATAGCATTCACCAAAAAGATCATTACAGCCAATATAAGAAGCATAAGAGACCAGAAAGTTGCTTCTTTACGTAAATCATCTCCAGTTTTTGTGAATGCTTGAAAAACATTAGCAAACAAAATACCAAAAATCGGGAACAAGCAACCTAAAATTAAATAGTTTAACTTTTTTTGTTTGTAAAAGGTTTACCATATCTGATATTATAAATGAATTATTTCACATACCATTAATAATCGATGATATTATGCCTATAGAAAGTATAAGAGTTTCGGATCTATTGATGTATAATATCTTCTTGATCATTTGCCAACTAGTGTAATTATGGCCATCATGCTTCAATCCTTTTTCAATATCGGCTTTTTGCTGAACCAAATTAGAACGAGAAGAGGCACGGGAAGAGGCATGAGAAGAGACACTAGTAGTCTGGTGATAATCAATATCCTTAGATGTAGTAACTTCATCCTTCTGTGAAGGTATATTTGGATTCAAGTTTTCTTTCGATAGATTTTCTTCGCCCTTTAAAGACTGTATAATTTCTTGAGATTCTACAAATTTAGAATAATTTCCCTTTATTTCCATAAGCTCTTTGTGTGTACCTGATTCCACAATAACACCTTTCTTCATTACAATAATCTTTGTTGCATTGTGAATAGTGGATAAGCGATGAGCAATAACAATTGTTGTGCGTCCCTTTGAGGCTTTATCTAATGCTTTTTGGATGATTTTCTCATTTTGTGTGTCAAGAGCACTAGTAGCTTCGTCGAGTAACAAAATCTTTGGTTTTTTAATAATAGCACGAGCAATCGCAATACGTTGCTTTTGTCCGCCAGATAATAAGATTCCACGTTCACCAACCATAGTTTCATATTTTTCAGGAAAATTCATAATAAAATCGTGTGCATTAGCCATCTTACAAGCATCAACAATCATTTCATGTTTTTCGTCTTTAGATAAATTTTCATAATCAGAACCAATTAATCCATAAGATACATTTTCAGCTATAGTAGTTCTAAAAAGTACAGGTTCTTGACTTACAAAACCTATTTGTCTTCTAAGCCAAATTAAATTAAGGTCTTTGATATCATGTCCATCAAGTAATATTTCACCATAGTGAGGATCATAGAAGCGAAGTATGAGAGATGCAATAGTACTTTTACCGGAACCTGAAGAACCAATGATGGCAACAATAGTATCAGGTTCAATATCCAATGATATATTATTTAAAATTTTAACATTAGGGCGTGTCGGATAAATAAAATTTATATTTTTAAGTTGAATTCGACCCGTAACATCATCGGGCTTAAGACCGATTTTAGAAGAACTATCAATTGAGGGAGTACGATCAATAGTTTCAAACAATTTTGAACTAGCGCCAGTAGCAAGACTAATAGCTTGAACGTAGTCAAAAAAAGTGGTAAGACTGAAAAACCCATTTCCAATCAAATTGAATATACTAATAACCTTTTAAAAATTAGTTAGAGACTTTATTTAAATCAATTAATATCTTAATATCTGGAGAAGAAAAAAGGGAACACGTACTTGTCCGAAAGATACTTCATTATTGATGACCATTGAAGTACCATACAAGAAGGACAAAGAAGGGATTGCATAGGTGCCAAAGAACATTATACCAAGAGCAAAACCAACCAATAAAGATTTTTTAACCCCTTCTTTTCTTGCTTCACTTAAGTAAGCATCATAAAGGGTAGAGAGTTTCTTTTGAGCACCAAAGGCCACTGCAGATCTGATAGTTGAAATAGATTCTTCAGCAATTATTCCAGCACGAGAATAGAACTCCAAATTATTTTTCGTAAATTTAGCACTATATTTATTCATTATTCTACTATTGATAGCAAGAAAAGGGATAACGATGAATATCACGAGTGTCATTTTCCAACTTATAGTAAATGAAATAATGAGTGATGCAACGAAATGTGAAATATACTGAAAGAGCAAGCAATATGAAACAATAGGTGAAATGATAGTAAGATGAAAATAAATAAATAAAATAAAAATAATAAATAATAAATAGAAATTAATTAGAAACATTAGAAACACAATATATATACATATAAACTTACTAGAAATGCGAGAGAAATTTTTTCACTGATACCATCTTGTACCAAATGTACATAAGAAGTAATGCGAGTAGCAACTTCGCCTGAGCCATATTTGTCAAAATAAGCTATGTTTTGTCTAAGAACAGCGCGAAAATATTGTTCACGGATTTGTCGTGCGATTCTGAAAATAACGCCAAACGATATTAGTATGCATTTGAATAATCGAACTTGATATTAATACTACATAAAAAAACAACCTTTCACCAGTATATACCCAAGTAACTAGAGATATATACGTAGCAATGAATGTGAAAATTGCGAAATATACATAAACTAAGAAAAGGTAGTTTGATTCTTCGGAAAACTCGTTGGTGCTTATCGCGTTAGTATGAAGACGGATAAAACAATCGGTCAATATTCCAAAAAGGACTGATCTTCCAGCCTGCCAAATTTATATCATAAATTGAGAATTAATTTTTGAAATATAAATTGCGCAAAAAGAGAAGTATTATGGTGAACATACCATAGCAGTTCCTGCGGCCGCTGAAAACACTAACCCAATAATCAATATTAACCAGTCACGTTTTGTAGCGAATCGATATAAAGTAATATAAGATTCTTTGTTTTTAGTGACACTAATCTGATCTTTTAAAATTCGTTCCTCTGCCGAACTAAGCTTTATGCCAAATGATTCTTCAGTTAATATCGTAGTTGTATCTTCAATCATCTTTGAAATTTATTTTTCTATCAAAGTATAAGATTTCGAAAAAATTTTCAAAACAGCTAAATAGAAGAATTATGTTCCTGAATATAATTATAAAGCATTTTTGTTATATGCTAAGTTTTTATTCTATTAATTTACAATATTAATAATTAATTATTATCTGGATAATACAAATACCGAGGATAGAATTTTAGCAATTCTAACAACCACTTCAGCACTTGAGAAAGATAAATGTTACACCGGGATTTTATACCAGGAACAGTGTCATGTACGTACGTACGTCACACTTAAAGTATAAGTATTGTAGAGTGTTATGTGGCATTTTTCTGTTTATTTGTGGCGTCTGTACACAATGTTTTCAATCCAATTTGTTTATAACCGGGCGGAATAAGCCGTGAATTTTTGCACCTAAACATCACTTTACAAGGCTCTAGTTACCTTTGCAGTATTCAGGTTTTGCGACTCAATTGGTTGGTTGGTTATATCGGGTAACCTCGTGGCGTTGATTATAAAAGAATTGTTTTACAATGCAAAATAATTTTGAATAAGAATATACTTACTGTTCTCCCATGCTCAAAACAACTTTACAGGCTTATTGCCAAAATATTTAAATAATAGATTATCAGCACCATATATCAGTATATGATAAGATTTTTAATTTTTATCGATTAGTAGCCGTAGTTTAAATCGCATATCTTCAAATGTTATAACTCCTGCTCTAGTAAAGCAAATGATATATGAGTAGTGTAGTCTTAAATATATGTTGAGACATTTTCTAATTCATTTTATAAATTTTCTTAATATAGTTAAAAACCCAAATATTTTTTTAATTACAAATTTAAATAGTAAAATAATTGCGATTTAAAAGTTTAAGCTAAAGAGACCCAAAATATTTACATATTATTCTTAAATATCTCAACCAGTGTTTATTTACAAAATTTAAGATGTTCTCTATAAGATTTTTTTGAGAATAATAAGTTTGAAATTATGTTCTTTATATAAATATATAAAGTAATAAAAAATAATTTTATTAATCTAAGAGTCTAAAATAATCAAGCTAAATTGTTAGTCGGTTGAAATGAAGAAATTTCCGTTCCTGGTTTTGGTACAATGTAGTTGCGTAGCTACCTTATTATGTAAACTTAATCTTGATATGCATATAATGTTAGTATATGAATGTCAATTATATTAATATTAATATTAATTTTCAGAGAGCTAAACTCACTATGATAATAAGTTAACAAATCTTTAGTTTTTAATTTTAAAATTACTTTTTAAATATAATATACATATCCATTCTATAATAATATATATTTTTTCACATATTTAATTTGATATAAAACTTCAACTTAATAGAACTACTAAGTTTATTGATAAAAAATATAGGGTCAACTTGAAAAATAATTAAAAACTCTCAGAAAATATAAATAATTCTCGAAAATACGAATAACTCTAGAAAATATAAATAATTCTAGAAAATATAAATAATTCTAGAAAATATGAATAATCTAGAAAATATAAATAATTCTAGAAAATACTGATAATTCTAGAAAATACAAATAATTCTAGAAAATATAAATAATTCTAGAAAATATAAATAACTCTAGAAAATATAAATAATTCTAGAATACTATTATTTGTCTAAGATTTTGCCATAGCATTTATTTAAAAGTTTAAAAGAAAGATTCCTAGATTATGATCTTATTTATTTTGCATATTTATCCAAAAAAAATTACATTACATTTGGATGCTACGGTTAAAAATCTACAAAAATTAATTAAATTTTATGAAGTTTCATTAAAGGTAATATTCAAAAAATTATTAAATAACCTCTTAATTCTGCCCACGTATATATTACTTAATGCACTTAAATGAAATTATCATTGAACTTTAAATTCACTCAATAATTCAGGCGCTTTAACTTGACCTTTTTGTATTCCTTCTACCATTTTTATAAGATCATAATTAATTTCTTGAGAAACTATTGAATCATGGTTATAATTTGGATGGGATCGTACAAAATTTCTTATCCATGTCGCTGCCGTTTGGATTTTGCCTATTTTAATATAAGTGTATTTCATTCCATTAAAACCATCAACAAAATAGTAATTTGAAAATTAAATTTAAGGAAATAGGCTAAATTACCACTAGCTCGCATGCCAATAAATTCAAGGTACTTTCCCAAATGATATCTTGTTTCAATATCAATGTTCATTGATTCGAGATATTGAAATATTACATTAATTAACCCCGGAAATTCGTTACTCTATAATGAGATAGAGAACATTCACGCCAATGTCAGTACAAGTATTAATTAATGTCGCGGCTGAAGCTGTAAATTATTTTTTAAATAAAAGAGTATAAGTAGGGCTTATATTTTTAAATCGAGGTCCCTAATTTCCAACTTTAGCCGTGACAATTAATGATTAATAAATGAATAAAATGCACAATATTTACATTGCCATTTACAATTTCATTAATAGTCATTTGTTCAAATTCATCTTTATAGACAAGTATAAATAAATAATTAGTAATGTATCACAACCACACGTCTTATTCATGGTAGTTTTTTATATAATTTTGATAATTTTGATAATATATAGTTACTAAGCAGCCAATAGAGTTATTACCTTCAACTCCATCATAATCTGCAAATATATTCTTTCTGAACCAAAATTTTTCTGTATTTAATGCATCCCTCTTATAAGCAATAGTCATATTTTCATCTACCTAGTAAATAAACATTTATTATTATCATTACTTTAAATAGTAATGACTATTAGTTAACAGACCTTTGAGATTGGTATATAAAAATTTAGGTCATAACTAAGAATAATACGAGTCAAAAGTAACATGAAAGTTACAAATGCTGCATTTTCAAAATCAGTTATTTGAACTTCCATGCAACGAAATTCTACCCGCCAACCAATATCCGAGTTTGGTGGTGGAGGTTTGAAGCGTACCGTTTGCCAGTTTGTTGAATAAATATTCTATATAAATGTCTCATTAGTAAAGTGCAATCTCAATAAGCTCAATATCTTATTATTAACACAACCTCAAAATGATTTGATGACGATTCATCATCTTGATGCAACGAATCTTCAAAGAGAAAAAGAGGATCACGAATAAATAAGTAAGACATATGGCGTGCCAAAAGCTCATCAACTCCTAAATGATAATTATTATATAATTAATTACTCACATATATATAGTGCATTAACGATTTAACATTACAGTTGAACTACGAACATACCATTATCTATTAATTTTTTATAAATATTTCGATCATACACTGAATTTTGATCATTATATTCCGACTTTAGAGTTTTGTCAGCTGATATATAATAAGCGATTGTATCCCAGCGTGACTTATTTATTACGAATCGATCATTTTTGAGAGGCTATAGTGAAAATAAGTATACATTAACAGCACATTATTGGTTAAATTTTAGAACAGATTTTATAGAATAAAAATAATATATATAAATATGCAAAAATCTAACTTCTAAACCCCGTTCTTCTTTTGTACGATCGTCACCACTTATCTCAAGTACAATCCATCTACAATCCATATCAGACAGATAGCCTCGCCAAATTGGTGATGCAGCGGTTAATGCCAACTATGTACGTATGTGTATAAACATTAATAAATATATGCACATTTAACTTTGTGAAAATAAATGTACAATACCATTATAGGACCCAAAACTGCTAATTGGTCATATAGTTTCCTAGCTTCTCTAATATTACAGGCTTGAATAGTTACGTGCAGACTACAACAGCCTGCTCCAAAAGCATGAGAATCCATATATATATGACCTGGTAATGCTCTTTCACAATCTGAAAATAAAATTTGACTCTTTTTATCTTGAAAAACCGGTATATTAATAGTAACATTTGATCCTAGACGACTGTTAAACCCATTATTTACTGCTCTATTTTATTTAAAATAAATTATATGTTATTGCATAAAAAATACATTATATGTTATTGCATAAAAAATACATGAACAAATACAGTATATTATGAACTACATACTGATATCTAATGTGGGGATTCAAAATTTCATCCGGCACAAATGAGCTTTTTAATTTAGGCCCAAACGGTTCATGATGAGGCTCTAAAAATTGACCTGGACAGCCAAGACGTGGAAAGTTGGTTAAAGTAATTATACTTTCATTTTGGCTTAAATATTTGAATGCAGTTGCCCTTCTAAGTTTCATATTTTGTTCAACTCGAAGTAGGCTTTTTAAATTGCTCCCATAAGGAATACCAGGTATTCCTAATTAAAAATTTATAAGTACTAAAATAACAATTTAAACCAATTAAAGCCAAATAAGACTGATACCTTCGATCATATACACTGCAAACTCGGGTTGCCATGATACTTCGACTAATTCACTATAAAACATATGATTAGTTAATAAGATCGTATGATTTGATCCGCTAGATATCGTCATAAACATACCCTTTTCTCAATGTTTCCTCTACTTCTTTTTGCAAATTGTGCAAAATGTCAGAAGTTCTTAATGATAGCTTTGCGTTCTTGTTTTCATCATCATATGCAATTACCATATATTCGATCTTCGTAAAGAAAAAGAAAATCATCATTAAACTAAGTATCGATGTATTCTATTTAAAATAAATTACCTCGTCACCCCATAACAAATTATCTTTTTCCCTATCCTTTGTTTTATTATAAATTGATAAGAATTGGTTTATTCCACGGTTACGAATATGGTCAGCATACTTTTTCACTTGTTCCCAAGGAAGAGGCTTGCCTTCAGATATTAACCCCATTATTTCAAATTAGAACGTTACAAAGAAAGTTGAAAATTTATGAAAGCTGATTATCTAAAAATTTATATTATGTATATGTGGCAGCTGAAGCTGAGATCAAATAATATTGAATTTTAAAAGTTTTCGGGGCCAGCTTTTTAGATTAAGGTTTAAATAAGGATTAGTCCCAGGATAAGCCACTCATTATATCTAGATCTTGTTCACAGGCGTATGTAGATCTTTAAAAATAGTACAGTACTGCCGATTTTTATCCTTTGTTTCTAATTTTGTAATTATAAGGGGTACAAATTCCTGGATTCAGGTACGGTTCAGTTAAAACTAACTGGTAAGGTACGGTACAGAAAAGTGACCGTACCCAGATAAATTTTTTCAAGCAGGGTATACAAAAAAAATAATAATTACAGTATTGTACCAAGTTTTTTTTTTGGTGTCAGGTACGCAAAAAAAAATATACTTAATGAAAAAAGTTTAGCGTACTCAAATCTAATATTAACAATTTGGGTACGGTATGAAAAAAAAAAAGGTAATATAAAAAAAAAGTGCACCGTACCCAAAGTTATGTATATATTTTTAGGTACGGTACAAAAAAAAAAGCTTTGTAATAAATTATATGATTGCATCAATAAAATTATTATGATAATTACGTATATAATTAATTTTCTTTAATATGTAGTTAAATATTTATATGTATAAATAAATGCTTTAAATATTATTTTTTAATACAGTATAATGTAATTAGATATTTATATAAGTTTATCTATTTTAAATACAATTATACATATTACTATTTTATGTAATATAATATAATTAGATATTTATTTAAATTTATATATTTTTAAATATAATACATAATTATTTTATAATGTAATATATAATTAGATATTTATAATTACATATTTAGGTTTTTTTAAATATAATATTATTAAATATTTATATATTACTACTATATAATTATTCTTATTGTAATATAATTATAGATAAATAAATTAATTAATTAAATTAAAAATTGTAAATTTAAATAATTAATAATATTAATAATAATATAACAATAAAATTGTATAAATCTAATTAAATAAAAATATTTTATTAACTATAATTTTAAATTAAATATTAAATATATTCAAAAAAAAAATAGTACTATTTGTATATTGATATAATAATATTATTACTTTATATCAGATATATATATTAAATTATACTCTAAAACAAAAAATACACAATACATATTTTAACTATTACTGGTAACTGTACCGTACCGTACCCAAAAGATTAATATTTTATAAGGTACACAAATTATAAATCTAGTACAGTATATATTTAAAATATTAACTGTACCGTACCTAGGCAATAAATATTTTTATTAGGTACAGTTTTTAAATTAATATATATTTTATTGCGTACCTACTAGGTACATATATGTACTTTAGAAATATACTGTACCGTACCCAATACTCAAAACTGTACCGTACCAAAAAGGGTATTATTCTTGGTAATCGGGAAATCACCACCAATTTCACCAATAGTGGTGAAATTATTTCACCACATTTCACCATATTTCACCAGCATCTATAATTCTTGGTATCGGAAGAATGATGGGAATTACGGAAATTCGAAGAATAGCCGGAATAGTTAGAATAGTAGAAATACTTAGAATTCCTAGAATTCTATTATATGTAATGATTTAATATATAACGGAGAAGTTTTCCTCCTGTAATAAAGAGTTGGCACAACCCATTAGAGTTCGGCTCACTAAAGAGTCTGTTATCCGACTTTAAAGTCTCGCTTTAATTACGCCCCCCCCGATAAGTCAAATTTGTTTATCATTAGTACTGTAGTTTAATACCGTTTTAGAGCCTCGTGACTATAGTTGTTAGTTTAACCCGTCGAATGAGGCTTTTTATTTATATTTATTACTGAAGATGTTTATTGACTTGTACGTATATTTAGGTTT